AAAATGGAAACAAAGTCTATGTAAATAGGGAAGGGTGGTGGGGGTGAAGGGCACATAGGTAATGGGGAAAAAATAAGAACTAAGATACATCATGTTCAGGTACAAACACCCAATGATAAATGTAAATGTATTGTATACCTATAATGTACCAACTAATATATAAATAAAAATAATAATAATCCAGTGATTGACTGGCTGGTCATTAAAACCTCCTGTTTCAAAGGATGCCAGAAACCCACCAGTCAAAATAGAGGCATTTGGAGAGATGGCAAATTGAAGCAAGGAGTCTGATAGACACCTTTAAGTCATTCACACACTCGGTCAACAAATATTCTTGAGCACTTTCAATATGCCATGGTCTGTTTTAAACACTACGAATATACCAAGATGTACAACATCCCTGTTCTCATGGGGAGAAAAACAATAAACAAATAACAAAATTAATATGTAATACCTACATATTGATGCCAGGAACCAATAAATTCCTGATGGCTATTTTACATATGGTGTAGTAGTAGTGGAAGGCTTTTCTAGTAAGATGACATTGGGTCAGAGATTTGATTTGAGTGAGAGACTCACTCCAGCAACCTCTTGAGAAAGAACATTGCAGGCAGAGGGTGTGGCAAGCACAAAGGCCCTGAGGTAGAGTCTGCTTGAGCTGCTCTGGGAGGCCAGCTGAGGCCGAGAGAGGTGGGGGTGGCTGATAGACAGGCATCCTAGGCAGGACCAGAGCATGAGCATCTCAGAAGGTCATTTTAAGGATCTGGGCCTTTTTTAAGTGAGATGGAAGCCAGCAAGGGTTTTGAACTGAGGCAAAAGAGCAGACTCCCACTTTTAAAGGGCCCCTCTGGTGATTTTCTTGATTACAGCCTGAGGGACCAGTGGTAGTAATTGAGAGCACAGATAGGAGGAGGCTCTTGCAGTATCTAGGGAAGAGATGACAACAGCTTGAACGAGGGCTCAAGAACAATCCCCAACTGATTTCACCTGCCGCCACTCAGGCCTTGCTCAGCATCCCCACTTTGATCTCCCCAGTTGCTCCAAGAGAAGGATAAAATGCTGCATGAGCTAGAGAAGAAGCTGAGCCACATTCAGAACTATTTCAGGAAGAAGGAGATGGAGCTGGAGAGCCAGCAGTGTATAACGAAGGAACTCGAAATGACCAGGAAAGAGGCAAACAAGGACGAGAGCAAAGTGGAGTGCGAAGCCCTAAAGGCTGATGTCCAGAAGCTGACAGACAGTCTGGAAGAGGCCAAGCAGCAGCAGAGGCTGGCAGGTGAGGCCCCAGCAGGCACCACCCTACCACCCTTCCAACCCAGGAGGCTAGAGTAGCCCCCTCCTCCAAATGGACCCCTCCACATCTCACTCCACCTTTTCTCAGCTTGCATCTCAGAGATGTTCCCACGGCCATCTTGAAGTCCTTCCCTCACCCCTCAGCTCACCTCCTCTCTGAAGGCTTGGCTACAGCTTGGGAAAGTAGCTGCTGAACTCATACAACTGCTATTTTCTCAGCCGTCTCAAATAAAGATCCCATCCCTCCCTGGCCACAGGGAGGGCAAGGCTCTGCATTTGCTCCTTTGCAGCATGTTCCGCTCCATCTTCTCCAGGCCCTTCAACACAGCTCACCTCTCCCCTGCTGGTTTTTAATTCTGCCCTCCAAACGCATTCTCTTCTGCATAGCTTTCAATGGAGATCGTGTCCTTGACCCTCTGTGGAGACCACTTTCTTAGGTCTTGTGGCCTTGGGTACAGGATTTCTTTGGGAATGATAAAAATGTTCTTGAGTTAGATATTGATAATGGTTGCCCAACTTTGTGAATATACTAAAACCTGGATTGTCTATTTTTAAAGGGTAAATTTTATATTAGGTGATTAATTATTAGTTTAAGAAGGTCCCAAGTTTGGCTTCCCCCCTCACCCTCCTTTAACTTTGTCTCCTGACACCGTTAGGCACCAACATTCAAATTTCATTGCTCAGCATTTCCTCTCATTCTTCCCTAAATCTTATCACTGTTTTCTCTTTCTCCCTCCTGCTCTGACTATGGCCATCTACCCCTCTCTCTCCCTCTAAACTCACTCTTTGGTGAGCTCCACTCCTCCTCTTAGTTATATTTCTCTGTTGATGACTCCAAATCTCGGTGCCCCAACACTGACTTTGCAGCTGTGGCCAGTCTTGTCTTTAGAGAACTTCCCCTGGGCAACCCACCCACACTCCTCTCTCAACAATTCCAAAACTGAACTTTTCTCTCCACTACTTAAAAAAATCACTCCCCCCCTTCCAAGATATGTCGCTATTTCAGTAGTGACACCATCCTTCTTCCTATGCTGAGAGACTTCCTAGAAGCAAAGAGAGAAGAGTGACATTTACAGTAGAAAGTATAGGGTGAGGGACACATTTTGTGTGAAAGAACCCTTACTGAGATGCTTTCGCCTCAGGGGAGGCAATGACATGGGATGAAGGGGTCTTGCTGAGAGTCTTGCTCAGATGCATCCTAATTTTCCTAAGGCACTCTTGCCCTCATATCAGTTATCTGTTCACTGAATAAAATATAAACATTTCTCTTAGGCCTTTAAAGTCCATGAAGCCTTTTCTAATCCACCCAGTTACTGACTCTTTAGCCTATTAGACTTTTTAGCTCATGATCTCTCTCGTTTTCCTTTCCAATCAAATTGGTCTCTTCCTGTCCTCCACATGCCTTCTCCATTCCCTTCCCCAAGCATTTGGTCTAACAATTGCCCACCTGAAACTCTCCCCTACTTCTTCCTCTAAGGCTCAACTTCTGTCCCTCCACAAGTCCATCTCCAACTGTCCTAACCCCTTGGATCTCTCTTCCTGAGTTCAATTCTCCTGGGTTCTTCAGCTAGAGGTGTAGCTCAGTGGTAGAACAGGTACTCAGCATGTGCAAGGCTCTGGGTTCAGTCCCCAGCACTAAAAATAAATATATAAATACCATTCCATTTTGTCTATGAGAAAGGGACAATGATAGTTCCCTCACTAGACTCTAAACTCTGTGAGGGTCAGGATTTGCCCCTAATGATAAGTCACACAGGAGATACTGAGTAATTTCTACCAATCTGTTTACTTTTAGTCAAGATAAAATCCATGGCTAGAAAGTAGTTGAGAACAGATAATTAACACAGCTCCTTAGGACTAACATGAAATGAAGTGAAGGCAGATTAGAAATTGAAGTATCTCACACAGTGAAATGACAGATGCTTTAGCCAGTTTTGAGAGTCCAATCTTCACACATGCTCCTTCATACATGTCTTCCATCATGTCCGGCTTGTCTCTTGGCTTCTGCAGCTCAACAAGCAGCACAATATAAGGAAAAGACCAGGCTGGCAGAGCAGAACCTGGACGGTGTTGAGAAGAAACTTCAGAGCTGCATTTATGAGGACAAGCAGAAGGCAAACACCATCCAAGAGCAGCAAAGAGAGCTGCAGAAGCTGCAGAAGGAGTCCTTGCTGGCTGAAGAGGAACTGTCACATAACAGGTACCTCTGGATCACTGCCAGAGAAAGGATCTGTCCTTGAGAGCCAGCCAGGACCATGTGGGCAGATGCCAAGGGTGGAAAAGCAAGGAGTCCCCAAAGGGCCAGCTCCACTTGGCCAACATAGGCACTGAAATCCATCTTCCTGTTCCCACTTTGCCTTAGGAAACGGGTAGAAGAGCTAACCTCAGAAGTTGCTGAGATTCTAAAGAAGTTGGAAAATGCAGACAAGGAAAGGAGAAAGCTTCAGAAGACAGTGGCTGAGGACGAAGTAAAAATAAATGAATTACAAGATCAGGCCAGACACTTTCAGCACCAGGTATGAAGGGCAAGTGGGCAGCCAGGTGTGGCATCTATCCTACCTGAATCAAATATGTTGGTATTTATTTGGGAAGATGTCACCCAAACCATGCAAACTGACTGTCTAGGATTTGTGTTAGAATGCTGCACCAGCCACTCTGCAACAGTTCCCAGGGCCAGTAATAAGCATTTTCAAGAATTAAACACAAAAATAATCAAAGGATGCATAGCTCTTTCTGGGATTCAAAAGCTATCCTTGTCAGTCAATTTAAAGTCTTTGATCTCTGAAATATTCTTTTTGTGCTTTCCTAAGATTGCTTAAAACTTTATTCAAAAAGGTTTTTGTGTCAAAAGATTTGGTAAGTAAGTGGGAGAGAAGGATTATTCTGTGGGACTTGGATCTATAAATAAAATAAATTGGTCTAATTAAACAAAGAAAAAATGTTGCAGAACATCAAAGCAAAATTTTTATTACACATACCATAGAACTAAGAAATTATCTTCACACTTATTTCAGCCTTTCCCTGGGTGCAATTGTCTGGATTTCTTTTCCAAAATATAATACAGGCTTCCTACCAGCCTAGTCTTTATTTTTCCAGCACAAGGACCTATTATCTGCCAAAAGCAAGCTAGAAGATGACATTCAGGAGGTAAGGAAGTTACTGGAGGAGAAAAAAGAGCAGCTGAAAAAGAGCAAAGAACAGGAGAAGCTGCTGGAGGAAGAACTTGAGGTTGTTCGACAGGAAGAAAAAAAGAAGGACAAAATGGTGAGGAGAATCTTGGCAGAGACCGATAATGAATCCAAAGCCAGGCATGGACCTAGCTGGGCCAGGAGCGATGCAGAGGCCAGGGGTGCTCAGAGCTCAGGAGGGAAAGGAGGGAAAGAAAAGTTCAGGGAGTAGGAGAACAAGGAGGCCAGGACACCATAGTGCACCGAGGCGCAATGGGGAGGAAGGAAGAGAAAGTGTTGATAGTAGTCTGAGGTTAACAACTCTTTTCCGGGCTTTGCTCTTTAATGTGGAGAGCAGTTAAAAGAGAAGCTGAGAAAGCTAGAAGAGGAAAACGAGAATCTCCGAGAAGAGTTGGTGCATTATTCTACACAACTGGAAGCCTCTATCAGCAAATACAATGCCACCCAGCAAGTCATTCAAGAATTGAACATACAGGTAAGCAGACAGGAACCCCCAAGGGGGTGAGGAACTTGAATGCTGTGACAATTGGCTTGAAATCTGTTACCTGTGTCTCCTCCTCCACAGCAGTGCAGCTAAGTGGCTCAGCCAACTGCATCTGGTGCCACCTGCAGCTCTATCTCTCTCCTTAAGAGAGGGAGGGGTGGCCTTCAGGACCGGGCTTCTAAGCCAAAGAAATGTTTCTTTCCTATGTGGAAAGTTTTATTTCATACCTGGTATTCCATAAGTTTCCAGGACAGATGTAAAAGAAACATCTAACTCTGAATTGAGAGAGCACAACTGACCAAAGAATGACTCAGGCAAGTCTAGCTTGGCAGATAAATGAGTTTATTAGGGGTTATGTACAGAGCAGTGGATGACTTATGCACTGCAACACTACCTAACTCACCAATCTTCCTTTGCTAAGTACTGGTTTTATAGGGCTCTATGGTAAACAGCAAGAAGCAAAACACTAGAGTCCTTGGGGAAAGTCATGCATATTCCATTCCCATGCTGCCCTTGTCAAGAACTCCACTGGTCTCAGCAAGCACTGTTCTTCCACAGTAGTAGATAACCTTGGGCAGCATCAGGCACACAGCCTCAACACTTGGCAAGGGCCCACTGGACAGCTAAGCTAGAAAGTTGTTTTGTTTTGTTTGTTTAATGTGTAAGCATGTTCAAACTTTTTAAAAGCATACCCCAACTTTTAAAAAGCATACCCCACACATAATAAACATATTGAATCAATTGAAATAGCCATTAGAAATAGGTTTAGTTGGGCCGGGGATTTAGCTCAGTGGTTCGACTGCCTGCCTCGCAAGCACAAGGACCCAAGTTTGATCCCCGGTACCAAAAAAAAAACAAATAAAAAAAGAAATACTCTTAGTTTCACCCAGGTGTGGTGGTTCACACATGTAATACCAGTGCTCTGGGAGGCTGAGGCAGGAGGATCGAAAGTTCAAGCCCAGCCTGGGCGACTTAGCAATTTAGTGAGAGTTTATTTCAAAAAAGGAGGTATAAGGAAGGTTAGGATGTACCTCAATGGGAAGTCCCTGTGTTCAACCCCCAGTAGCACAAAAAAAGGAAAGATAAATGAGCTTAGTTTTGCTTTCTAAAATCCACTTCCTTTAATCAACTTTCCACACTTTGATTTTAAAATTTCCCATCCAAAAACAAGGCAATATGTCTTGAGACTCTCCATTTATTTTATTCTAGTATATTTTTCTACTATATTTTATACCTTATTATAGTTAATAGAAAATATCATTCATTTATAAATCCTACATTTGGATATCTTATTAAACTCACTTATAAGTTATAATAAATTTTCAGTTATCATGGATTTTAAATAGATATCATTTTCAAGCAACAAAACTTTTCCAGCTATTTCTTTGCAACATTTATATATATTTTATTTTTCTGGTCTTGCTGCATTGGACTACCTTCAGTGTGATGTCCAATGCCAGGAGTGTTAGCAAGCATCTTTTCTTGCTTTTAACAGAATGCATCTGTTTCAGCATGATGTTCCTTGAAGGCTTCTTGTTGCTCTCCTTTATCAAGTTTCTTCCATTCTTCAGTTACTAAGGATTTTCTCAGTATGGATGTTGAATTTTATTAAATGCTTTTTTAAAACCATCAAGATGATTATATCATCTTTCTCCTTAAATCAGTGATGTAATGAATAAAATTAATTAATCCTAATTTGCACCCATCCTTGCATTTTGAGAATGAGTCCTGATGTGTATCATGTATCGATCTGTGTGTGTGTGTGTGTGTGTGTGTGTGTGTGTGTGTGTTTTACTGGAGATTTCTTGTGTCAATCTTTTAATGCATACTTGGCACACTCTAGGAAGTAAAATAAGGCTAGTATGACCGGAGTGTACTGATCAAAGAAGGCATTGGCATGGAATAAGATTATGAAGATAGGCAGACATTATGACCTCTTTTAAGCAATTTGGGGTAAGAGAAATGCAAAGCTGTTGATAAGATTTCCTCAAAGGGACAAGAGAGATGATTTGATCTTATTTAAATTTTGAAAATATAACTCTGACTAATGTGTGGAAATGGATTAGGGGAGGAGTGGATATGGAAGAAAAGAGACTAGTTAGGAGGCTACTGTTATTCTGGATAGAATGGCATCAGGGAAAATTCAGTGGCATAATTGATCAGACTAACTGATGGAATCACTGAAAGTGAGGATTCCAGAATGGCTAGTGGAATTCACTTATAAAACCATCTCAACCTAATACTTTTGTTTGCTTGTTTGCTTTTTGAGACACATGTCACTATGGACCCCAGACTGGCCTTGAACTCATGATCCTGCTCCTTCAGCTTCCCTAATGGTGGGATTATAGGTGTGCACCACCACACCTGGCTAAGAGTGGATGTTTATGAGAACCTTCTTTAGAACTCCTGATTCTGTAATTTCCATCTATGCAGATTTCCATTATGTTTTTCTAAGCAAAATCATTTATGTTAGCAAAATTTAAAATAAAGTTTCCATTTTAGCTTTTTTTTTCTAAACCACCCTCCATGGTGACATTTTTCACTTCAGTCACCATTTATCAACTACTTACAGTGACTGTAGTTTCTCCAGTGACTCCCCTGGGTTACTGGGAAGACCCTGCTGATTCCATGGATTGGTTTGGTTTGATTTTATTTTGTTTCATTTCATTTTGTTTTGTTTCAGAAATCCCTAGGAAAAAAATGTTATTTCCAGAAGAACAAATTATTTCATGTCTAGGAATCATTTCACCACTTGGGCATGTAAAATAAAGGGTTAAAAATGCAAACCAACACTTTTCATCTCACTAATTCCTAGGGCTGAAGATCCTCAACATTCATCTGCAAAAGTAATATGTTTGTTCAGCACTAAGCAGTTACTGCATATAAAGCAAGAAAACTCAAAAGAGTATGTAGGTGTCCTGGAATACCAAAGAACAGAAGTCAGATATATGACTTTTTAAGATTTCCCTACATTTCCAGACTTAGAAACAAATCTCTGTCCTGGACTTAAAGTATATAAGATGGGTCCCCTATGTTTATGATAATAACTCACAGTCATAGAGCAATTGACACCTCACAAAGTGCTATTCATCTCATTTGGTCATCACAAAAACTGTATGAAACAGTTGAAATTACTGTATCCCAATTAGTGGAAGCAGAAACTGAAGCCTAAGAAATAAGTAAATGACAGAACCTGGACCTCAGCCCAGATCCTTTGACCCCAGGCTTAACTCATCTAAATTTAAGACATAGTTGCTTTTAAACAAATGTCTACTAGAACTGTGTGTTCAACTGATCTCTAACTTCAAACAATATTTGGATCTTTAACTCCAAACAATGCAATATTTCATTCCAGTAATTTGTTTTAAAAATTGATTTGGTATTTATTATGTGCCATGCTCTGAGCTATAGCAATAGGGGAACAGCAGTGAAACACACACCTAGTCCCACTTCCATGGCCCATCCAGTCTAGTGAATTATGCCACAAACTAGGGAAAGCATAAAACACAAATGAAACACTATGTCTAGTAACCTAGAATTGGATTCCAAATCTGAATCAAAGGCCACAGAGTCTAATGAAAGAGACTTTCTGTGTAGTTCCTTGTATTTGGAGAATGTGCTAACTAAAAGAGGAAAGGTAGGTGGAGGGATGCAAAGGAGCCTAGAAAGATAACTGTACATTTATAGCAGTGATTTGAAGATGTGAGTTAATACAGACTGCTTTGAAGGTTCTTGTGGAGAGCAGAGAGCCCAGCTGTTGTCCACTTCCTATAGTCATGGAGAGTGTTTCGGTGGCCGGAAGCTGGGGTCCTGACAGTGACATTCTTGCTCCCTAAAGATAACCCACCAGAAGGTATCCATAATGAGTCTGAAGACCCAGCTAGAGCAGGCCGTGAAAAAAGAGAACCATTATCTCCAGACCATGGTCACTAAAGAAGTCTATGAAGACTTATCCCGGAAGTCAGCTGCCTGCCAAGATGACCTGACACAAGCCCTGGAGAAGGTGAGACCGTACCCTCTCAACTCCCAGCTAGTTTTCAGACAAAAACAGGGTGATGTGAGAGGTGCAAGAGCCAGTTTCCTGCATGACTGACTATCTCGAAAGCATCTCAAACCCTTACTTAGGCTGGGGTATCTGTCCACAGAAGGCCTGCTTCTTCTTAGCGAGGCTTTTTCAGGACCGGGGTCGGGGGAGTGGCCAAAGAGGCTGAATCTAACAAATCTTTCTGTACATGAGTGACTTGGGGGCAAGGTTTTACCAAAGCCCGGATTGTCAGGGAAATTCATGCCCTGGAAAATAAGAAATGGGGCAGGGAATGGATGGCTGGGGCTGGAAGGCTGCAGAAAACCAACAACTGTCACTTCCTACCCGTCTCTGGAACCCTAGGTGAGGTAACCATCTGCACCCCTGGGGCAGAGGACAGGAGGGATTGAACCCTTCTCCATTCAGGACCACACAGAAAGGGCCAAAGGGCTGTGGTGACCACTCTCATCCTCATTGTTTTTACTGGAAGCTCAATCATGCAACCTCAGAAACCAAGAGCCTGCAGCGAAACTTGTTACAGACCCAAGAGAGGAAAACTCAGCTGGAAGATGAAATTCTTGCTTATGAGGAGAGAATGAAAAAGCTCAATGTGGAATTAAAAAAACTGCAAGGCTTCCACCAGGAGAGTGAGATAGAGGTGAGGAAAAGCCAGGGGCTCGAGCTGCTTTCCTCTTGGGGGTTCATGAGGCCACCTTTTGTATCCAGAATTATTTAGCGCTAAACCATACCCTTTGGCTAATGGGTTCCCTTCACTTTTTTGGCTTCTCAAACTTCAAACAGAAGCAGCAAAGGTCAGAGCAGGGGCGCCCTCTGCTGGCCACTGGGAATAAAATACCCCCAACAAGTCCAAGGTTGAGAAAGCACCCTTTGTCCTTGTCATTGTGTCCCCTGGTTTCCTTCTCCTCACTTTGTGCTCCTGAGCAGGTGCATGCCTTTGACAAAAAGCTAGAGGAGATGAGCAACCAGGTGATGCAGTGGCAGAAGCAGCACCAGAATGACCTCAAGATGCTGGCAGCGAAAGAGACTCAGCTCAGGGAGTTCCAGGAGGAAATGGCCACCCTGAAAGAGAACCTCCTTGCAGATGAGAAGGAGGTGGGCACTTCTGTTGCTTCCTCTTGATCCTTCCTGGCACAATAGACTGTCCTTTATGGAGTCCAGGTGCTGGGAGCAAGGAAAGGACACCTTACCACTCCAACAGAAGGCAGGGGTGGATATTACAGGACCAAAGTAGCTGTTTCAACCCAACTCTATTCTTGTGGTTTTGTTGATAGAAAGAGACTAATCAAAACAAAGGTCCCATTGCAGAGAAGAGACTGCAGGGTACCTCAGCCACCCCTGACTCAGAGAACCCACTGGGCAGCACCTCCAGTTCATCCTGACACATTCAGTAGACCCAGACCCTGCCGTAGAATTGGATAAGTGATCTTCTGGATAGGTCTTCCATGCAGCTCCCTGAGCAGTGAGTTTATGGCAGGAGGCCTCAGGACATCTGAGTGGCCCTGGAGCCTTTGTTCAAATTAGAAAGAAGCCATCTCTTCCTCCAGATATCATTTTTCCATCTGTTAAAAAAAAATAGCTTAGCATACTTTTTTAGGACAAGTCATTCGGTGCCTTTGGCCTGAAAGTCATTATTTTAAGTGTATAAATCTGCTGTGCCTCTGCCATAAATGGTGCCTCCTCAGAGATACCACCTCCGTGTGGGTGCAACCTGCACAGTGGAGGTGGAGGTGCTAGTATGACCTCTCTGGCTTTGGGTTGAACAGCAGAGCAGATTTTCCTTCTCCCACGAAGAGAAAAAAGATCTAATTTGGGAGGAGAGAGGTGACAGGTCTGTGCTCCCATGCCCCTACTGTCTCAATTTCTTCCTGTATGAAAGCCCTGCTGCCTGCCTCCTCGATCTGTGCCCAAAGACCCCTGTAGGCTCCACCGAGACAACGATCAGATTATGTGCAACATGGAACAGTGGGCAAAAGAGCAAAAGTAAGTAAAAGGGAAGGTTCCAAGGCCCAGGATGAGGTGAGGAACCACACATGTGCCAGTGATGAGTCTCTCTCTCTCTCACACACACACACACACACACACACACACACACACACACACACACACACTCTGTGCTCCCAGGAAACTGATCCCGTCTCAGCCTACACCCAAGGGTTGAGAGTTAGATGGAGGGGGCCCAACTCTTATGGCAGGTTTGAAAAGTCCTGTGACGGGATAGGGCAGCACCAAGATGGGAGGGGTGCTTCTGAGGGGTCAAATTTCCTCTGCCCAACCTGGAATTAGTTTCACCTGGATCTTTTGAACTCATTCCCTGAACTCACAGTGATTTATTTTACACAGCAGTTGAGTACAGAGAGTCCATGGGCTAGGAAGGCTCTAGCTCTGGGACAGGGTGGTTGAAGTATGTGAATCTAGGATCCAGCAGAAACCTTGCTAAGAATATCCAGTGTCCCAGCCGGCCAGTGTGTGTCCTCCTTGCTTATGGGAGTCTGTGGAACCAGTTGCTGTTCTCTTCTGTGGATTCTATTACAGGATCACCAATGAGAAACTAGGAAACAAGCTCCGTGAACAGGTCAAATACATCGCTAAGCTGACTGGTGAAAAGGAGTAAGTCATCCCACCCCATCCTGGCTGCTTCTTGGGATCTAATGAGCCAGGGCTGGCTTTGTCATTCAGTATGTGGTCAGATCCCAGGGGGAAAGAGGCCTAGTACATTGAACGGATGCTTGAGTCCTGAATCCATATCTACATGACAGTGGGCACATCACTAGGGCTTACTGGGCCTAAATTCCTTTCCCAAAACAAAGGAGGTGTAACAATCTCCATGCTCCTTCCTCCTCCCACCTGTGAGAGGGGAGCAGGCACTGAGGCAGGTGGGACTAGTCAGGGTAGGGTGTGGCTGCTGTACCAGAGATCCCCAAACAAAGGCACACAGAAAAAATATCTTTTCATGGAGGAGTCTGAAGTGAGCAGTCCAGGATGGGGGTTCCTCTGTCCCCCTAGACACATATGTCCCTTGTACCTGTGGCTACAGCCTTCTCTAAATCTTGCCTCACCTGCATGGTCTGAGCTGGGTGTGTGGAGAGTGGGGTGTGAGAGTACAGAAAGCTGGAGAATAGAGGTGAAGGAATTGTCTTAGTTACTTTTCCTCACTGCTAAGACAAAATACCTGACACCCAATGTTAAAGAAGGAAAGGTTTATTTTGGCTCACAGTTTGTAGAGGTTTCAGTGCATAATCAACTGACTCCACAGCAGGGTGGCATGGCAGAGGGGCATGGCAGAGGAGAAACAGTTCATGGCAGGCAGAAGACAGCAAAAGCAGCAAGCAGCAAGTGACAAGCAACCAGAGACCCTCTTTCTGTCCCTTATACTTATCCAGGCTACCCATCCTTAGAGTGATAGCACTCATACCCAGGGTGGGGCACTCTTAATCCTACCCCAAACTATGTCAAATCAATCAGTGAACTAATTTAATAATCACACACCCTTGATCCCAGCATCACCCGCTCCAGATCCAGCCACCTCTGAAAAGCCCGACCTATGACCACGTGAGGCTATGGGGGTACATTTAGACACAAATCTTAACAGGTTAAATATCCAAAACAGAGATTTGGGGTGTGTAAAAAACCAATGATGACAAGCCCTAGGACAGTGCTCCCAAGCTTTTGTCAGGGAACACTTAGAAAATGACCACATGTGTTTGGCACACAAGGGATGTGTGTGATGGGCCTACGTGGGACAAAGTTGAACAAGGAGCAGCTGACCCAAACCCTGCTCTGAGGGCTGAAGGCATCAGTGCCTTGGCATGACTGGAACCTATTTGAGACTTCCAGTTGGAAAGCTCTCCTCCCAGCTTTGACCTTAGGTAAGGTAAACGGAAGGGGAAGACAACACCACTGCCATAAGTAGGTCAAGGACCCAGAGGCCAGGACATGGACGGGCAGAATGGGATATTCAAGGCATCAGGAATGCTGGCATGAGAGCAGAGAGAGTGACAGAGAGCCAGGGACTGAGGGCAGTCCCAGCATCCCACTTCCAGCCCAGTGGCACATGGAGCAAGGCACCACAGGGGAAGAGGTGTGTTCAGAGCTGGCCAGGTTTGTGGAGAGCAAGCGAGTGACACATACACCCAGAGAAGAGGTTGAGGATTCATTTCTTTGATTTCCTCCTTAAAGGAATGTGACATTTTTTCACTGTACAAAAGAACATTTTCCAAGGAGATTAACTAAAAGTTGGCAGAATCTGACAAGTACCAGATAATTTCAGGCTTTTTCTTATATTGTGCCAAGTTCCAGGAAGTTCTGTTTCACAAAGAACTCATTTTTGAGTTTTGCTTGATCCTATTTGAAGGAAATCTTTTTTTTATTTCCTGTGTTTTTATTTTGTTTTAGGTAGCAGGGATTGAACCTAGGTCCTTTACACTGAGCTACATCCCCAGCCCTTTTTTAAAAAATATCTTATAATTAAGTCACTAAGTCACTTTTTATATTAATTATATATATTAATTCACTAAGTTGCCTAGGCTGGGCTCAAATGTGCAGTCCTCCTGCCTCAGCCCTCTAGAGTGCTGGGACTACAGTTATGCACCACCACACTCAGGTACCATCTTTTAATGATAATAGTAATGCTCGACTTATATTTATTGTTAGCATACGCTCTAAGTGCTTTACCTGCATTAACATTTAATCTCCCTAAGACCTCAGTGGTTCAACATACAGATGCTCCTTGACTTAAAATGGGGTACTCTGGGATAAGCCCATCATAAGTTGAAAATATTAAATTGAAATGTGCACCTCACTTACCAAACATTACAGCTCAGCAACACAGTGCCCTGTAGAGTAGCAGTTGTTTCCCCTCATGATCCTGTGGCTGATTGGAAGCTGCAGCTCACTGCCACTGCCCAATACCTCGAAAGAGGATCCTACTGCATATCACTACTCAGGGAAAAACTCCAAAGCACTGTTTCTACTAAATGTGTATCATTTTCCCATCACTGTGAACTTGAACCATGGTAAGTCAGAGACTGACTGCAGGTAGAGACGCCATTTATAGATGAGGAACTGGAAGGCTAAGGAACTTGCCCCTGGTCTCACAGCTAGTAAGTGGGAGAGCCAGAATTCCAGTTCCAGAAGTTCTGTTTCAGAGCCCACTATCCCCCACTGCTGTCAACATTAATTTAGAGGAATATAACTACTAATAATAGCCGCCATTTATTGAAATGGCTATAGGAAATAGGTTTAATTATCTTTCCCTTAACCTACATTACAGCCTCTTATTTCCTCATCTTTAAAATGGAAATAATGAGCTACTCAGGAGTCTGAATCAGGAGAATCACAAGTTCAAGACCAGCCTGGACAACTTAATGAAACTGTCTCAAAATAAAAGGGCTGGAGATGTAGTTCTGTGATAGACCACTTGGTCAGCAAGTGCAAGGCTCTGGGCTCAATCCCCAGGACCACCAGAAAAAAAAGGAAATAAGAAATTTGCCCAAGTTCTCAACAGAGCCTGGATCCTCTATGCTCCCTGCTCTTCAGCAAAGGGAGGCAGAGAGAACTTGAAAAACTTGGACTTTGGTGTTAGCACTAGAGTAGGCTTTCCTAGGAATGACCATGAGAACCCAAGGACCCATGATCAGAATTGTTCTTAGCCTTCTGACTCTTCATATTTCTTTCATTTGTCAAACTGGATCCTTACATGCACTCCAATAGTCAGGTCAGGCCCAGAGCTGACAGAGTATGCCAGGACATACGCACAGGCCTCCATTTCCATGCAGCATCAGAACCCAGCTCTGAAAAGAACTGAGCATCCATGCCCTCTTTCCTGAGACACCTTTATCAGTTTTTTCCAGTAGTTCAAGCATACCAAACACTAACCTGTCCCTTCCCCTCCTCTTCACAGCCACCTCCATAATGTAATGGTCCATCTGCAACAGGAAAACAAGAAGCTGAAGACTGAGATAGAAGAAAAGAAAATGAAAGCCGAGAACACAAGGCTGTGCAGAGCCCTAGGCCCGAGCAAACTGGAGCCCACACAAAGAGGGAAAGTGTGTGGTGCATTGGGCTGGAGGGGGACAGCCCAGGACACGGGCTGGAGAATGGGCATCACCAAGTATGTTGGGATGCCCCAGTGCTCAGGTACATCTGCCATGTCTTTTGTTACGGTGATGTTCCCCTTTTTAGTCCCATGTGCCAAAACAACAGTGTGATATTATTTTTTCAAAGATCACTAGATGGAGAATTCACAGAAGAAAACAGGTCAGTCGTGATCTCAAGTCATTTGTTTAGCTACCCTGGACCAATGATAATTGGTCTCTGTAGAGGAAAGAAGCAAATTAAAGCCCATTCTGATGTAAGACTGTTGATGATGCCCTGGTACCTCATATCTCAGACCCATCCCCTCCCCTGACCCAATATTTTTTGAGAAGTGTGGGCAAAGAGAAAACAGGCATCATCCTCCAGTTTTGAAAGCCCCGCAAGAGCATCCCATCCCCACCCAGCCTGGTCCACAGCTACTTTTCCTGCCACTTCTAAACAAAATGTTACACAAGAGGGAAGAAGTCACCCCGCAGCAGAGCTGCCTGGCCATGAGGCCAGTCCTTGAGGAATCACATCATTAATTTCTCCTCAAACCAAAACTCTCACTTCCTCCCTGTTCCTCAGGTTCCTCCTATTGCTAGAATCAGCATCTTTTCCCTGAGCATCATTTCTGTCTGAGTTTTCAAAGGACCATGAGTTCCCATTGTTCTTGATTTGGATCAGCTCTTCCGGGAATATATCAAGGTCCCAGCCGATTTTGCAAGATGCTAACATTTTACTAAGTTTCATCCACTTCATGCAAGGGAAGGAGCAAGCCTTGAAACCATACTTCCACCTCCAGGCCCAAACTCTACAATAAAGACATGAGCACAGCAGTTGTCAGAGTGCTTGGTTCTTGCAGACATCTCTGCCCCACCAGCCCTCAGGAACACCGTTGTCTCTTTTTTCTCCAGATTCTAAGATACTGGTCCAAAGCAAGCTTCTGAATTATCTGAATTCATTTTTAAACCAACAAAGTTAACTCCTTTTATTTGTTCCATCTCTTAAATAGAAAAAAAAAAATCTACAAACCCTTTTTCCAAGAAAGAATGTAATCCTGAGACCCAACTGAAAGCAAAAGAAATAAGGGATATATTTTCCAAGGAAGAGAGCAAGAGGAAGCCATCTGCTTCCTCCCTGGCTGCCATATTACGTTCCTCTTTTTAATAATTTCATTTTTCTCCCCAGCCACCTCAATACAAGTAAAATTCCATTATAACAAACTCTAAGGACAGGTAAACTATTTTATTGTGGTAGGATTTTGTTTAACTGAGTACATGTCTAGAATTTGTATTTCTAGTCTGTAGGAAATGGAAACAAATAGCTACTAGGGTAAAGAATGAAAAAGCTTGCATTTCTGAGGAGGCAGGAAAAGCGAAGGAAGAAACCTAAGCTTGACAATGATTCTTAAATATTCCTTCCTCCATCCCCAGCCAAATAAACACCAAGAAAATTCACCACTAATAGTCGCTTGTTTCATAGAATGACCCTTCCAGGACTTGGAAAGGGCAAGTTCAGAAGTGTGAGGTAGGGTGATGAGCATCTCTGGTAGTTTCTGTCTCAATGTGGTTGTCTGTTTATGTGCTTTTGACTGTCTCATTTGGTTTAGACTGGAAAACTTGGTACTGTTGAAATTGCTGCGTAGTCCTAGGCATGGATCATTTATTCAAACAAAAATTCAAAGTCATTAAAATCCCATCTGGTCTACTAAAAAGGTACTTTATCTCTTTAAGTTCCAAAAAGTTTCATGTATGTTGGCTAAAATTACAACCCTTGGGGATTTTGAATGTACTTTTTTTTCAAAGTTGATTTTTATTCCTTGTGGAGTGATTACACCAAAACAAAGCAGATAGTATGTTATGGAGAGCAAAGTGGTAGAAAAATATTGATATCTAACCCAGACATCTGGCTGTGAAAGCCCAGGCAGGCAGAAAACTGAGTTCAGAGAAATGTAGTTTCTTTAAATATAGGAGGAAGGCAGGGATGCTCAGTGTTGCCTGCCTACAGTTCTTTTTAAAAATAGGCAAAGAATTGAGTTCCTACAAAGTAATTTGAACACCTGATAGTAAAAAGAAATATTTACAAAATGTTTGCAAAATTCAACAAACTAGGAATGGAAGGAAGCTATCTCAATATAATAAAAACCGCATATGAAAAACCCACAGCAAACATCATATTCAATCCCAAAAGACTACAAACTTTTCCTCTAAGATCAGGAGTAAAGCAAGGATGCCCACTTTCATCACTTCTATTCAACATAGTACTGGAAGTTCTTGCCAGAGCAATTAGGTAGGAAAAAGAAAAGGCATCCAAATTGGAAAAGAAGAAGTAAAATTATCTCTGTTCACAGATGATATGATCTTACATGTGGAAAACCCTAAATATTCCACACAAAACTGTTAGAATTAAACATGAACTCTACTGAATAGCAGAACACAAAGTCAACACACACAAAATCAGTTGCATTTCTATATATTAACAAAGACCAATCTGAAAAGAAACTTATAAAAATAATTCCATTTACAATAGCATCAAAAAGAATCAAATACTTAGAAATTACCGAGGACATGAAAGCCTTGTATAATGAAAATTATAAAAGATTGCTGAAATTAAAAAGTCCCTGACCCACTATTCTACCATACCTGTCTTTTGAGCCTTCTCAATCCAACCCAACTGCAGACTGCCTTTCAAGCTTGCTGCAAATAAAAGCCTGCAGGCAATTTCTGGGGTCCCCCTCCCTGGCTGACATTTCTGGTATCTATAGAACCATTACCATGTAAAGGATAAATGAAGCACCCTCTAGCCCCAGGCAGGGCTCTCTCCCTGGCCAACACACTGACTTCCCTCATTCAGACAAGTCTGAAGCATTAAGCCAGACTCAAGAGTCCACTTCAGGGCCACAGGTTTAGTCAGAGACCACAGGGCCATTATAGAAATGCTTCTGCCCTTCAGAAAAAGAACCAGCTATCACCTGAGGGAGCCAGTGTGAATTCATGCCGGAATGGAAGAACTTTAAACATGGTCTGAATGGAAAAAGGGTCTGTTCTTATAAGTAAACCTTGGAGACACAGGTCCAGACAGAATCTTGTCAGAAGCTCTAAGGCCAAAGCAGATTTGGGTGGTGATTCTGGGGGCAAGGGACCGCCCACTCAGTTGATGGCCAAGTGTTCTTTGCCAGGTGTCCCTAGGGCCAAGATCAGGTATGCCAGGCAAGCAGCTAGAACCTCTTAGAAATCATTTCCACCTGAATTCCCAATAAAGGCAGCTAGAGACAGAATGGAAGCAGAAATACAGCAGCAGCCAGTACTGACTGGCAAAGCTTGGCTCCCAAACTCATCCACAGAACTGACTTACATTTTAGTTTATATTGAGATAACAGATGGAAATTTAGATCACAGGAGCAAAGGGCAAAAGCACAGAGAGCCAGGTACTAACAGACTCACACAAAGCACTGGCCTAGTGAGGGACTTCTGGGGCCCAGGTCCTCCCTGCGGGACTCAGCACAAGCACAGACGTGGTATAGTCCCAATCAGCACGCCTGGTGACTGCCCAAACCAAGGACTCACACTATGAAAACCAAGGTCAGCACAAAGGGTAAATACACAAAAACCCACATCAGCACACTTAAGAATCTGCTTAACAAAAGACTAGCAATTCCAGGGTAAGGATAATCTTTTACATAAAAATCAATAAGCAACATTTTATTTTTCAGTCAAACACAGCTGTTACACCTGTAGAGTAGAAGCCTCTGGCATTCTGAGCAGTAGCATGGGCCTCCTTAAAGCCCACCTTGCCCCCTAGCCTTAGGAACAGCCAACATTCTTAACGCTTGGCCTGCCTGTGTTTGATCCCTCCAAGGCCTCCAAATCTAAGCTGTGTCCCACCCTCCCTGCCAACCCCTCCTCTAAGAAGCCCTGCCTGGAAAAAGGACGCAAGGGCAGAGCTAGGGTTCTAGAAGGCTCCATCCAAGGAGAATCAAAGGCTCTCCCCCTCTTCTCTTTATTTAAGATTTAGGGCAGTGAAGGAAAAAAGAAAGAAATGCAATCACATTTTACAAATAATAGATTTATTCTAAATCCCAAATTATAACCAATTGCCTCCAAATCTATCTCAATGCTTTACACAGGATTTAAAAAGACATAGTCATAGCCAAGTCACTCATACACCAAGCGTCCAGGGAATGAGTTATGTGGATGCAATGGGTCCAGCCACCTCCCGCTGCTCAGGCGGCCTCAGCTGCTCTGCAGCCCCAGCTCCTGCCAAGCTCCTGTGCTGAGCAGCTCCTCCTCTGTAAGAGCCTGGCCAAGCAGGAAATGCCCCAGGGGCTTGATGTGCACAGATGAAGTCCACAGCCTCTCCGTGCTCCTGCCAGAGAGCTGAGGACCCCATACAAGGCTGCCACCCTCTGCTGGGACAGCCTGGACTCATAACCCAAAGCGAGCTGGGGTGCGGCGAGGTGTCATGGGCTCACCCTGCTCTTTCCGACCTGGGGTGTAGATCTTCGTGGACCTGGAGACACAGAAGAGGGAACAGCTAACACACTGCTCCTCACCCCAGCAGGATCCCCAGCAGGGTAAGGAGGCTGAGGCCTGTATGTTTGTGACCTGTGTATGAGGCAGCTCTGGGCCAGAAGGCCTTATCCCTAGTACACTCCCGCTCACTTCATCTCCCCACTTTCATTACAAATGTAATAAAAGGAAATCACCTAAGAAATGTGTGAAACAGGTTTTCAAACAACTCCCTTCAGACCCCCACAGTGGGCTGAGGAGATAAGTTCCATCCACCTCAGTAGATCACTCTCCAGCCATGCAACAGAGACCTGCCTGTGTCCCCAGTCCCTGGGAGGAATTAACCAAGTGACTGGAATGTCTCTGCTGTTCACGGTGGGCCCTTCGGCCACACCTGATAGTTTATGCCAATCTTGACTAAGACAGAGTTGTAATTACAGCTGGGCCTTGAGCCACGTGACACCAGCCTGAGCTTTGGGGAAGGGAGGGAGGGCAGAGGTGAGCTCAACCGCATGGCAATGATTCAGTCAGTCACGCCGATGTCGTGGAATCCCAATAAAAACCCTGAACACTGCTGCTCAAGTGAGCTGCCCTGGTTGGCAACACCCTGTGCATACTGTCACAGATTGATGCGCCAGCAGGGTAACTAGGCCACAAGGACAAATGAAGCTTCACTTCACATCTCAGACCCTCTCAGTCCTCCCTCTAAGGATCTCACCCTTTGGTTGATTCTGATTTGCTATAACAAAACTGTATTCATCAAGTATAGAGCTTTCCTGAGTTCTGTCAGTCATTTCAGCAAATTATTAAACCTGAGCAAGTCCCTGGGGATCCCCAAATTTGTAGCAAGTTGCTCAAAGATGAGGGTAACCTCCAAACTTGCAGCTGGTACTGAAGTAAGGGCAGTCCTGTGGACTGTACCCTTAACCTGCTGGGTCTGCCCTACCTCCAGGTACCAGCACAGATTCAGAAGCCCCAGCAATCTTCTCCCCTCTCCACTATGTTTTCCAATCCCCTAGCTTGTAAGTAAAGCTATTAGATGTACCCTGCTACTCCAGCCCACCTTGGGTCCTGAATACAACGTGGACAATGGCCAGAAACTGCAAATACATAGCTGTGCCTTTAAAGTTTCCTGGAACTCCTCCCACACCTGCGCATGTGACCGCCCAACCCAGAAGCAACTTCTGTCACCTTTACACTGTCAACTTCTCATCCATCACAACCTCGCATCAGGGCTGGTCCCTGGCAGCCTTCCCAGGACAGGCTCCATCCCGCTCAAGGTCCCAAGGCTGAAGCTCACCTGACACTGCCCAGAGGGCTTCGCTTCTCCTGTTCCTGCCGCCGGGCTCGAAGCTGCTCCTCAGCCAGCGCCATCTCCTCCTCCATGGCAGAGGCTTCCTCTTTGGCCCGACGGCGATTCTCCTAGAGAAGAAGGGTATAGCTAAGCCCACTGAGGATCATCAGAGAGCAGGCCAAGGGTGAACCCAGGTTCTTGCTGCAGAGCACCAGCTCTCAGAGACAAGAGGCCACAATGGCTGCCTGGCCAGGACCAAGGCTGCTGTTTCTTCTGCTGCCAATGCCTGCTGTCTTCACTGATTCAAGACAATTCAGTCCTAGGCCAGTCACACCTCAGCTCCCCACTCAAATCAGTAAGGAGTTAACTAGCTGGCCATGGTGGTGCACACCTGTAATCCCAGCACTTGGGAGGCTGAGGCAGGAGGAGCACCAGGAGTTCAAGGCCAGCCTGAACTACATAGCAAGACCCTGTCTCAAAAAAAAAAAGGTAAGGACTCAACTTACATGTTTTTAATCAAGTTTACAACCATGCCAGGAAGAACAGGAAATCGGAAAGACATTACCACCTGGCTGGCAAGGACAGACATAAGGATATGTTTGGCCCAGAAAGGAGAGAACTATGTTAAGGGGGAAAGCAAAAGCTCAGCAACATTTCGCAACCCTAAATAATAGATGTAAACTGTGATCTCTGCAAACACTAAATCCTAAGGAGATGGAGTAGCAGGGAACTCAGAATGGAGGCGAGGTGATATGAACAGGACCGCAGATCAATCTTAGCGTCATCAAAGTGGGCGCAATAGACCTGATGTGTCTCCTGAAGGCGTCTGAAAGAAGTTTTAACATTGCATACATGCATCCTTGCCTGACACAGCTGAACTGGAATCTGATCAAAGCTTCAGAGTAATGACTCAGTTATAGAAAGTACACAAAATGGAGGCACAATTAAATACCACCATGAGGAAGCAATCACCCAAATATGTAATATACACAAATG